GGTTGCGGGGCTGCAGTGACATGTACTCAGGCAACATGGGGTTAGTTGAAATCTCAAGAAGCATTTCGCAATCACCGTCCTGGACAGGTGATCGGTAGGATATTCCTACTGATATGTTCTTGTTATTCAAGCAGGGAATTTCTATCCATAAAGATTCTATGGCACAGCTTGAGAATCATTTAAAATCATTTAAAAATCATTTAAAATTTTTACTATATTTAACACTCTGCTTTTTCACATATAGGGCCACTCCCATACCAGCATGGCCTACTCTGTCATTCCAATATATTTTGTACCCTAGTAAGACCATGTGCCATTGGTTATCATCATTTCCACCAAGTTTCTGGGATGGTTGTTATATCAATATCCTCATTTAATACCAGTCACTCAAGTTCACCCGTCACTCACCTTGGTCTCCCCTGCTGTGGGATCAGAATCAGCCCAGTCAGCTGGCACGAGACGAGCCTCCAATCCAGAGGGCTGGTTTCACTGCAAATGTCACAGGAGATGGGCCATGAGAGGAAACTCCTCCTTTAAACACATCAGGAAAAGCTCAGCCTGGGGATGAGCTTAGGGCTCCATTTCAAGTTGCCCTTCCTTTCATCCTGGGCCTGCAGCACCTCCAGAGGAGAAGGAAAGCCAAGTCATGCAAATGCTCTTTCTGCAGCAAATGGCAATGAATCTGAAGAGGAGGACAATAGCAGGGTGTGTCTTGGAATAAGATGCATAGACCTGAAGGTCAGAAGGGACCATTATGTTCGTCTAGTCTGACCTCCTGCACAACGCAGGCCACAGAATCTCACCCACCCACTCCTGTAATAAACCCCTAACCTATGTCTGAGCTATTGAAGTCCTCAAATCATGGTTTAAAGACTTCAAGGTGCAGAGAATCCTCCAGCAAGTGACCCGTGCCCCACTCTGCAGAGGAAGGCGATAACCCCCCAGGGCCTCTTCCAATCTGCCCTAGAGGAAAATTCCTTCCTGACCCCAAATATGGCGATCAGCTGAACCCTGAGCATGTGGGCAAGACTCACCAGCCAGACACACAGGAAAGAATTCTCTGTAGTAACTCAGATCCCACCCATCTAACAGCCCATCACAGGCCCTTGGACATCTTTACCGCTAATAGTCAAAGATCAATTAAATGCCAGAATTAGGCTATCCCATCCTATCATCCCCTCCATAAACTTATCAAGCTTAGTCTTGAAGCCAGATATGTCTTTTGCCCCCACTGCTCCCCTTGGAAGGCTGTTCCAGAACTTCACTCCTCTGATGGTTTGAAACCTTCATCTAATTTCAAGTCTAAACTTCCTGATGGCCAGTTTATATCCATTTGTTCTTGCGTCCACATTGGTACGGAGCTTAAATAATTTCTCTCCCTCCCTAGTATTTATCCCTCTGATATATTTATAGAAAGCAATCATGTCTCCCCTCAACCTTCTTTTGGTTAGGCTAAACAAGCCAAGCTCCTTGAGTCTCGTTTCATAAGACAAATTTTCCATTCCTCGGATCATCCTAGTAGCCCTTCTCTATACCTGTTCCTGTTTGAATTCATCCTTCTTAAACGTGGGAGACCAGAACTGCACACAGTATTCCAGGTGAGGGCTCACCAGTGCCTTGTATAACGGTACTAACACCTCCTTATCTTTACAGGAAATACGTCGCCTGATGCATCCCAAGAGCGCATTAGCTTTTTTCACGGCCATATCACATTGGCAGCTCATAGTCATCCTGTGATCAACCAATAGTCCAAGGTCCTTCTCCTCCTCCATTACTTCCAGCTGATGAGTCCCCAGTTTATAACAAAAATTCTTGTTATTAATCCCTAAATGCATGAGTTCGCACTTTTCACTATTAAATTTCATCCTATTACTATTACTCCAGTTTACAAGGTCATCCAGATCTTCCCATATGATATCCTGGTCCTTCTCTGTATTGGCAATACCTCCCAGCTTTGTGTCATCCACAGACTTTATTAGCACACTCCCGCTTTTTGTGCCAAGGTCAGTAATAAAAAGATTCAATAAGATTGGTCCCAAAACCGACCCCTGAGGAATGCCACTAGTAACCTCCCTCCGGCCTGACAGTTCACCTTTCAGTAGGACCCGCTGTAGTCTCCCCTTTAACCAATTCCTTTCAATTTTCATATTGATCCCCATCTTTTCCAATTTAACTAATAATTCCCCATGTTGCACAGTATCAAACGCCTTACTGAAATCGAGGTAAATTAGATTCACTGCATTTCCTTTGTCTAAAAAATCTGTTACTGTCTCAAAGAAGGAGATCAGGTTGGTTTGGCACGATCTACCTTTTGTAAAACCATGTCGTATTTTGTCCCATTTACCATTGACCTCAATGTCCTTAACTACTTTCTCCTTCAACATTTTTTCCAAGACCTTGCATACTACAGATGTCAAACTAACAGGCCTGTAGTTACCCGGATCACTTTTTTTTTCCTTTCTTAAAGATAGGAACTATGTTAGCAATTCTCCAGTCATACGGTACAACCCCTGAGTTTACAGATTCATTAAAAATTCTTGCTAATGGGCTTGCAATTTCATGTGCCAGTTCCTTTAATATTCTTGGATGAAGATTATCTGGGCCCCCCCGATTTAGTCCCATTAAGCTGCTTGACTTTGGTTTCTATCTCAAATGTGGTAATATCTACCTCCATATCCTCATTCCCATTTGTCATCCTGCCATTATCTCTAAGCTCCTCATTAGCCTCATTAAAAACTGAGGCAAAGTATTTGTTTAGATATTGGGCCATGCCTAGATTATCCTTAACCTCCACTCCAGCCTCAGTGTTTAGCGGTCCCACTTCTTCTTTCTTTGTTTTCTTCTTATTTACATGGCTATAGAACCTTTTACTATTGGTTTTAATTTCCTTTGCAAGGTCCAACTCTACATGGTTTTTGGCCTTTCTCACTTTATCCCTACATGTTCTAACCTCAATAAGGTAACTTTCCTTGCTGATCCCTCCCATCTTCCACTCCTTGTAAGCTTTCTGCTTTTTCTTAATCACCTCTCTGATTTCTTCTATGAGGTCCTCACTACTCACTAAAACCAAATCTAAAATGGCATCCCCTCTAGTAGGTTCAGCAACTACTTGATGAAGGAATCCATCAGCTATCGCATCTAGGAAAATCTGAGCCCGATTATTATTACTTGCTTCCTGCACCAGTAACTCTAGTTCCTCCATTTTGTTACCTAGGCTCCTCACATTGGTGTACAAACATCTTAATTTTTGCTGTTTGGCCTCACTCAAATTCTTTACCCGATTAGGCACGTCATTCTACAGCCAGTATGACCTATTAGACTGGTATCCACACTGCCCTTCCTCCTTATGTCCATTCTCCTACCATGGCTGTACCCTTTCTTACTTTTGTTTTCTTCCCTCTGAATGCTAAAATCGGGCGTGAAGATTACCTGGACATCTCTCAACCATCTCCCCCAAATTCCTAGTTTAAAGCTCTCTTAATCAGTTGTGCCAGCCTCCATCCTAGAAGTCTATTTCCTTCCCTACTCAGATGAAGTCCATCCCAAGAGAACTGTCCTCTGTCCATAAATGCCTCCCAGTGGCCATACATCCCAAAGCCCTCCTTATAGCACCACTGCCTAAGCCATCTGTTGATCATCATAATCTTGTCACACCTTTGTTGTCCTTCTCTAGGAACAGGCAGAATCCCACTGAAGAGGACCTGAGCCTCAATTTCCTTAAGCGTCTTCCCCAGCCTGGCATAGTCTCCCTTGATACTTTCCAGCGAGAATCTAGCCGTATCATTTGTTCCCACCTGAAGGACAATCAGTGGATTCTTTCCGGCTCCTGTTAGGATCCTCTTCAGCCTCAGGTCCACATCCCGTATCTTAGCACCTGGAAGACAGCACCCTTCTGTTCTCTGGATCAGCTCTGGTTATAGGCCTGTCTATTCTTCTCAGTAAGGAGTCCCGGATCACGTAGACCTGCCTTTTCCTGGTGACGGTGCGATTCTCCGGTCTATCCCCTGTTACCTCTGGCTGCAAGTTCTTTCCATTCCTATTCTCCCTTGTAATCCTCTTCAACCCGTCCTGTATCCTCCTGGGGCTCATATTTGGTGTAGTCTCCATTGACTCTTCCCCTTTTCCTACAGGACTAGCCGCTCTTCTCTTCTTCCTTGCCCTTCCACCTTTAGTGGCCACCTGCTGAGCCCCTTCTTCATTTTCCAACTCTGCAAACCTATTCTTGAGCTCTATTTCTCCTTCACTAGCCCGTCTGTTCCTCTGCCTGGTTCTTTTAGTCACATACTTTCATTGTCCACTTTCCTCACCCAGCAGTCTCCCCTCAGAATTCCTCAGTCCTGCTTCCATCTGCAAGTCTGAGCTTTTCCCTTCAGCTGCCTCATGTCTTTGCTCCACAATCTGCTCGAACCCCCTTCTAAACTCAACCAGGCTTTCCACCTGCATCTCCAATCCTCGGATCTTTTCCTCCATCAGCTCTATCAGGCGGCATTTCATGCAGACAAAACTCTTACCAGGTGCCCCCTCCAGGATCACGTACATGCCGCAGCTTCCACATCCAGTCATCCTCATTGTGTCTTCCACGACATGGGTCACTCCCACTGCTGCCTCTGTGTCTGTCATCGCCTTCCCACCTAAACCCTGTTAGTCTGGGAAACACAAACCCCACCAAAACGCCACCACCCACAGCGAAAACAAACCCCCAACAATCCAAACTCCACTGAAACTCCCGTTTACAACTCTGTTTGCTGGCTCCTATGCCACGGCCTGTCTGGCTGACTGGCTCCCTTTATAGGACCCCGAGTCAGAGAAGCCCCGCCCCCTAATCAGGACTCAGCTTCTCTCCCAGCACAAAGCCCCTACAAGCCTCTACACATACAAATAATACAAATACCTTCTCCTCCAGCAGAACTCCCACTGCATGTATGAGCTGCTCATCTGAAACTTGCTATGGCTGTAGTTTATTCTGAATAAAATATTCATGTGCTCTTCTATGTTGACAGTGCAAGAATGGAGTTTCTCTGGCATCTACTAATGGTGATCGGGATCCTGGCAGGGACTGGAGTGTCTCAGGAATGCACCGCACAACCAGGGGGTAAGGAGCTGGCACAGCTTGAATGGAAACTTCTTCCCTTTTATGTTCTACCCCATTCCCTTTGGTCCCAGCCTCTGCCGAGTGAGACAGCAGAAACCCTGGGAGACTCTTCCCTTCCCACCACTGACCTGGGCAGGGGCTCCAGCTGGCAGGGGCAGACGGGGGAGGCGCCATCTGAACATCTTGCCCCATTCCTGCCTTGGGGAGCAGCTCCAGCTGGGTATGGGACGTGGGGGGCTGAGAGGGGCTCAGCCTGGGCTGAGAACCCAGCGCTCACCTGCTGTCACTCCCGTCCCCTGGGGCCATGGCTCCCACTGTGAACCTGGCTCTCATGCAGTGGCTGGTTTGTGTGTCACTGCTGTGACATGGCTCTGGCTCCAGCTCCGTGTGGGATAAAGGGGTCTGGAGCCCCCCTAGCGATGGGCACGTCCCACCTCCCCTCTTCTCACCCTCTGATTCCAGCTTGGAACTTGGCGCTGCGGTGCCTGGCCACTCAGTCCTCCACATACAAGAATTACGGACCTGAAAAAGCTAGGGCTGAAAAGGCCGTGGATGGAAACCACAATGGGATTTGGGACAATGGCTCCTGCACCCACACCGACCTGCGAGACAGAGCCGTGGTGGAGGGTGGACTTGGGCAGTCCTCGGTCTGTCTCCGCGGTGATGGTGAAGAACAGGGAGGACTGCTGTGGGGAGAGAATCAAGGGGGCCCAGAACCACGTGGGAGACTCCAAGGCTGGCCATGGCAAGGACGACCCCATGTGAGTTGCTTTCCCATGCTCTGGAATGAGATGACTCCTCCCAGCTCAGTCACAGGGGTTGGGTCTCATTGCCACTGGGGCCAGGGCGAGGTCTATTCCCTTTGGAGCTGCCTGGGGCTGGGGGCGCTGGGCTGGTGGTGCTCTCAGCTCCTGGCTGGAAGGGAACCGCATGTCACTGAGCACAGCGACCGCTGCAGGGCAATCCAGGGTAGAACAATCCCTCCAGGCCCCTGCGTGTTCTCTCTCTGCCCTCACAGCTCCTGCCCAGGTAGGATCATCACATCCAAGGCAACAGGAACAGATTTTTCTGAAATCCATAGATTTCTAAGGCCTGAAAGGACCTTTCCAATCATCTAGTCTGACCTCCTGTATTGCACGGGCCAGAAAACCTCACACAGGGATTCTGCACTGAGCCCACAATTTCTCTGTGAGGTATAGTGCATTGGTTAGACAGATGTCCAATGTTGATATAAAGACTTCAAGGGAAGGAGAATCCACCGAGTCCCTCAGTCATTTGCTCCAGTGGTAAATGGCCCGGACTGATAAAACAGTGAACCTTATTTCTTGTCTGAATTGGGTTGTGATGGGGAGTAGGGCAGGCAGCATCTCTTACAGTGTTCCCTTCGCCCTGTATAGATACACAGAGATGTAGGGCAGGAAGGGATCTCAAGAGGACATCTAGTGAGTCCCCCAATGCTGAGGCAGGACCAAATATACCTAGACCGGGGTAGTCAATTATTTTTTGTCAAGCTCCAAAATTCCTGGTCAAGGTATAGTCAAGATACAGACTCCAGAGAAAATAATAAACAAATGATGCTAATAAGGCGATAAAAAGATTTCTGGGGTGTGTTCAAAAGTGTCTGGTGGTCCAGATTTGGCCTGCGGTCCACCTATTGACTACCCCTGGCCTAGAGCATCCCTGGCAGGGGTTAGTGTAACCTCTTCTTAATCCCCTCCAGTGACAGGGATCCCACAACCTCTCTTAGTGACCTATTCCAATACTGAACTGTCCTTATAGTCAGAAAGGTTTTCCTAACATTTAATCTAAGTCTTCCTTGCTCCAAACTAAGGAGATTACTTCTTGTCCTACTGTTGGTGGACATGGAGAGCAATTGATCGCCGATCTCTTTGTAACAACCTGGTCTGCTGGTCACATGCCCCAGGAGCGCCTCTTACAGTCCGAGTGCGGAACTGTGGTTGTGTCCTTGCCTCTGTTTCCCTTTGTGGGCTTTCAGGGAATTCAGTGAGGGCTGGATGTAGTGAACATTAGTGCCCCATCAGGGGTCTAATTTATTTAACCAAAGGCCAAACCACGGTACACAAGCCAGCGTTCATCCCCACGAATCCTAGATGAGGGAGGAGGGGAGTAAACCTTCGCCTGTCTGCCCCGCTTGACTCCATCCATCTCCTTCATCCAGGCTCCTTACCTGTAAGCAGGGCAAGATTTACACCTTACGTGCCCCTAGGCACAGCATCTTCAGCGCCCCTCCTCCCTCCCCACGTGGCCCTGGAACCCCCCTACCAGCAGCCCTGTGTGCCCCCCTCTGCCTCCTAACCTGGCTCCAAGGAGGCTGCGGTGACTTGTCACCTGAGAAAAAAAGGCCCCCCCCGTCACCTGCCTGCCAGCTTTTTGCTGCCACCCGCCAGACCAGTCAGCCTCAGCCGGCTCAGGGTGTTCTGGAGCCACAGCGACCCCTGGAGGGTGAATGGTGGAACTGGAGCACATTTTCTGCAGAACAAATAAATTCTACTTCTCTCGGGCAAGAATTCTGTGCATGCTGAAAACGTCACCTAAGGGGAGAGGGCACGACATGAGACCGGTGGTGTGTGGGGCATCTTGGCAGTGGATGGTGCAGATTGAGAGGCTCCCTTCCTCTTGAGAACTCCTGAGCAGTGTGGCCAGCGTCAGCAGGGCAGCAAAAAGCCCAAAATACCACAACTCGCAACTACTAAAAATAGCCTGGCAACTGACAGCGAAAAATAGCCCAATTGGGTAGAAAATCGCATACTTGGCAACCTTGGGTACCCTTGAATGCCGGAGCCCCATGGCACATGTCTACTGTGCATAATTGGAAATCTGGTCCTGCCTGTAAGGCTCACTCAACCTGGGTTCCTGCTCTGGAGTCAGCCCTCCTGCCATCACCTTGGAAGGGTTCCCTCTCTGGATTCAGCCCCCATGAGGTCAAATCACTGCAGCTCTTCTCTGCAGGACGTGTAGTTCCTCTGCGACCTGGAGCACCTGCCATTGGCTGGAAAGGTGCCTTCTCTATGACCAGCTTTCCCTCCAGACTTGGCATTTCCCCGCTTTTAGCATCTCTTCCATCCAGGACACCTTTCCTAGGTTCCCTTTCCTGGGGCGCTCCCTAACCAGCTCCCCTGAGAAGCCCTTCTCCTCAGGAGCTTCCTCTGTGATCTGTGTGTCCTGACTGAGCCCTCATAACCCTTTATTAGGCCCAGGATTTCCTTAACTAATTGACGGACACCCAGCCACCTAGGGAATTAACTGCTCACAGGTGGATCTGGGTTGGCTCCTTCTCCTTAGCAGAGCTTGTCACGGGGAGGCTGGGTGCCTGACCTCCTCAGGGGCCTGCTACCCTGGGACACAACCTGGGTCCTGTCTGAAGACTGTTATCATGACCCCCATCAGCCTTCTCGTCTCTAGACTAAACACACCCTGTTCTTTCAGCCTTTCCTCAGAGGTCAGGTTGTCTAAACATCTCATCATTTTTGTTACTGTCCGCTGGACTTTCTCCAATTTGTCCACATCTTTCTTAAAGTGCAGTGCCCAGAATTCAATATAGTTAAGCCCCTTTATTTTTAGTTTAAACTGATTTTTACCGAAGAAATCGTGGGTTTTATAAAAAGCATTATCCATTTTTATCCGATTTTTCTCCTTACTTTTGTATCATTCAAGTATATAAAAAACCCTTGTTTTATTAGGAAAATACAATCCATTGTGTGACTGCTAGGTATGACGGTAACACAAAGCTGCCTGTTGAAGTAAGGCTCTGTATTAGTCGAGAAGATACACCTAATAAACAGGCACGCACGCAAGCTCTGAAGGGCATGCGCATCTGAACGTACTGATGAATCTCACACCCACGACGTACACATTTCAAGCTATTAGCAGATAGCGGTTTAAAGATTTGACACTAAAATGGGAAGAAAACGAAAATCTGTATCAGAATACGTTTCAGAATACAAGGAAATATTCAAAAGTTTAAAAAAAAACCAATAGAAGAAAAGGATGAAGTTGAGTGTATGCGCTGCAAATGGTGTGGCCCAATCATTAAATGTCAGTATTGATAGGGTCAGAGCTCTACGTTGACAACAGTAACCCTGTTTTTTTCAAATGAAAAGTTTTATTTGCGGATCAGAGAGGTCTTGTTTTCTTAAACTCGGAGGTGGCCTTGTGTTTTGAGTTCTCTTTTAGTTCTGCAGCAAACCACGTTGAATTCTGTTCATCCAAGCATTCATCTACTGCATCCTTTTTCCCCCAGTCCTTCCATCCACCAAAATAAACCTCCATATTTATCCAGAAAAGTTAAGTTTTTTCCATCGCTTTTTCACCTGTTTTTGTTGTTATAATAAACATAGATAAATACCTGGGAAAAATTAAACAAAATAAAACCCAAACCCGAAGGACCCTAGATACAGTATTCCTGCTGAGGCCTCACCAGTCCTGAATAGAGCAGGACAATTACCTCCCATGTCTTGCGTACAACACTTTTGTTGATACATCCTAGAATGACATTTGCTTTTTTTTGCAATGAAATCACACTCTTACGTCCTATTCAGTTTGGGATCCGTGATACTCCAGATCCTGTCCAGCAGTACTCCAGCTAAGCCCCCTTTTGTGGTGGTGCATTTGATTTTTCCTTCCTACGGGCAGTACTTTGCCCTTGTCTTTATTGAATTGAATCTTGTTGATTTCAGACCAGTTCTCAAATGTATCAAGGTTATTTTGAATTCAAATCCTTTCCCCCAAAGTGCTTGCGCTCCCTCCCAACTTGGTGTCACCCATAAATCTTATAAGCACACTCTCCACTCCATCATCAAAGTCCTTAATAAAAATATTGAACAGTACTCAAAACAGAACGACCCTTATGGGAAACCCCGAGAAACATCCCTCAGTTTGACATTAATAACTACTCATTGAGTATGGTTTTCCAACCAGTTGTGCACCCACCTTCTAGTAATTTCCTCTAGATCACATTTCCCTAGTTTGCTTGTGAGAATGTCACATGGGACTGTGTCAAAAGCCACACTGAAGTCCAGATATATCACATCTGCCACTTCCCCTGTGTACTAGACCAATGTCAAAGAAGGAAATTAGATAGTTTGGCATGATTTGCTCTCAACAAATCCATGCTGGCTACAAAATATAACTTTGTTATCCTCTAGGTTTGAACAAACTTGTTCAATAATTTCTTCCTGTCTCGTTCCAGGTATGGAAGTTGGGCTGATTGATCTAGAATTCCTGACGTCCTCCTTGTTTCCCTTTTTAGAGAGAGGTTCTATGTTTATCCTTTTTCATTCCTCTGGGACCTTACCCTTCCTCCATAAGTTCTTGAACAAATCGTTAATAGTTCTGAGATTGCTTAAGAACTCTAGGATGAATTTCATCAGGCCCTGTTGACTTGAATACATCTATCTTGTTTTGTCTTCTTGGCTTCTGCTCTGTTTTTAGGTGCGGGACCATCACCGACACCAGACTGGGATCCGTCAGCACCATCTCCTGCAACGGGCTGAAGGGCCGCTACGTCACCATCATCATCCCAGGCAGGAGGGGGATTCTCACTCTGTGTGAGGTTGAGGTCATAGCTCAGGGCTGTCCCCTATCACCAGTGGGTAAGGAGCTGGCACAATGTGAATGGAAACTTATTCCCTTTTATGTTCTACCCCATTCCCTTCTGCCCCAACCTCTGCCTAGTGAGACAGCAGAAACCCTGGGACACTCTTCCCTTCCCACCGCTGACCTGGGCAGGGGCTCCAGCTGGCAGGGGCAGAGGGGGGAGGTTCCATCTGAACATCTTGCCCCATCTCTGCCTTGGGGGGACCAGCTCCAGCTGGGTATGGGATGTGGGGGGGCTGAGAACCCAGCACTCACCTGCTGTCACTCCTGTCCCCTGGGGCGATGGCTCCCACTAGGAACCTGGCTCTCATGCAGAGGCTGGTTTGTGTGTCGCTGCTGGGACATGGCTCTGGCTCCGTGTGGGATAAAGGGTGTCTAGAGCCCCCCTAGCAGAGGCGGCGGAAGCTTCCTAACTGTGTGTGGGGGGGGGCCACCAGCAGCTGAACCAAGACCCCACCCTCATGCCACCCCTTCCCCCGAGTCCCTGCTCCTGCACCGCCTCTTTCCCCCCCAAGACTTCGTCCCCTTCCCCCGTTGCTAGTCCTTATGGCCAGTAAAAAATGAGAGAGCCATGTTCCCTGCCCCCTCCTTGTTCGGGCGCCCCTGTACCCTAACGATGGGCATGTCCCACTTCCCCTCTTCCCGCCCTTTGATTCCAGCTCAGAACTTGGCGCTGGGACGCCCGGCCACTCAGTCCTCCAGTCTCAAGGAATACGGGCCTGTAAAAGCCGGGGCCGGGAACGCCGTGGATGGAAAATGCGATGGGATTTTGGACGATGACTCCTGCACCCACACCAAGCAGGAGACAGAGCCGTGGTGGAACGTGGACTTGGACTGTCGGCATTCTGTCTCCACGGTGATCGTGAAGAACAGGGAGGACAGCTGTGGGGAGAGAATCAAGGGGGCCCAGATCCACGTGGGAGACTCCAAGGCTGGCCATGGCAAGGACGACCCCATGTGAGTTGCTTTCCCATGCTCTGGAGTGAGACCCAGGGGTTGGGTCTCATTGCCACCGGGGCCAGGGCGAGGTCTATTCCCCTCGGAGCTGCCTGGGGCTGGGGGCGCTGGGCTGGCGGTGCTCTCAGCTCCTGGCTGGAAGGGAACCGCATGTCGCTGAGCACAGCGACCTCTCCAGGCCCCCCTGCATGTTCTCTCTCTGCCCTCAGAGCTGCTCCTCGTGTAGAATTATCTCATCCAAGTCAACAGGAACTGATTTTCCTAGGATCCATAGATTTCTAAGACCTGAAGGGACCTTTCCGATCACTTAGTCTGACCTCCAGTATCACACTGGTCAGAAAACTTCACAGAGTGATTCTATGCTGAGCCCATCATTTCAGTATGAGCTGCAGTGTATCTATTAGACAGTTGTCTAGTCTTGATTTAAAGACTCCAAGGGAAGGAGAATCCACCGTGTCCTCGGTTATCTGCTCCCTCAGTTAATGACCCTGACTGATGAAATGCGTACCCTATTTCTAGTCGGAGTTGGGTTGTGACGGGAAGAGGGACACACCGTCTCTTACAGTCTGTCATTCACTCCGTGCATTGGGCTCTGCAGGCTCAGAGTTAAAGGGTCGTCAGTCCTGCTGCCAACTCGCCTGTGCTCCCTAATCTCAGCCTCTCGCTCTTGTCTTCTGCTCTTGGCAGCTGCGGGACCATCACCGACACCGCACCAGGATCCCTCAGCAACATCTCCTGTAAAGGGATGGAGGGCCGTTACGTCACCATCACCATCCCGGACAGGGAGGAGTATCTCACCCTGTGTGAGGTCGAGGTCTACGGCACCCCCGTGGGTGCCTGCTAGGAAGCAGGAGTGACACAGTCCAGGGTGAGGGGAAGCATGGGGGCAGGAGAAGAGGGAGGTTGGTGCAGAAATGAGCCGCTTTCACCTGATAAACTCCATTGGTCCCTTCCTGCGTCTCTCCTGTCATTTGTCTCCATCCCGCGCCATTCTGGCCATGTCTCCCCTCCCCTTCCCTGCCCCTACAGCAAGGTGGTTCTGATCCCACATGAGCCATGGGGGCCTCAGCTCCAAACCCCAGATGGCTTTGGGTTAATCCAGCTCTTCTGCTGCTGCTTCCGGCCCTTCCCTCCTCCCAGTGCCCATTCCCCAGCTTGCTCACCCCCTAAGTACAACCCGCTCTCTGGCTCCCCTGCCCCTTCTCCCAACCTGGGGCTGAGGCACCTGTTCTCCATTCCCACATCAACCCAACGCTCCTTAACAGCTCTCCCCACAACTCCAGCTGCCCTGCTGTCGTTGCTAGTCCTGGGCCATCAGCAGAGCGGGACTGGCTTTGGCCTGCCCATCCACGAACTCTGCAGCTGCTTGGCCCCTTCTGGGACGCCTCTGACCCTGAGGAGCCCCAGGAGGTTGGAAGAGCAGAGCTGACAGCTGACATGGGGCCAGATTCCCGGCAGGTGCAATTGGGCACAACTCTGCTGTGCAGCCGCTTATGCCAGGGCTGAATTTCACCCATATATCGTGCACAGTAAACGTGAGCCAGGCAGTGGCAACAAAGCGGTGTCCAGCCCCGAGCCTGGGCAGCAAGGTGACTATTAATGTGTGGAGGAGTGCGGCCAAGTTCCCGTCGTAACAGTTTGATGTACGTCTGCTGTCATCATCCTGGTGTCCTCCCCCACGGCTCGGCCGATGCCCCTCAATCCTGCCCCCCAGCCTCCTGCTATCCCAGAGAGCCGTGTTTGCTGAGCAGACCCAGACATTCGTGGCACTTTGTATTGTGACTCTGCTGTGGGCAAATGGCCAAAGGAGACATTGACTTTCTGTAGACTCATAGGCTTAAAGGTCAGAAGGGACCAGCATGATCATCTAGTCTGACATTCTGCACATTGCAGGCCACAGACCCTCACCCACCCACTCCTGTAACAAACCCCTAACCTCTGGCTGAGTTACTGACATCCTCACATCATGATCTGAAGACAACACCTTACAGAAAATCCACCATTTACACTTGTTTAAACCTGCAAGTGACCCATGCCCTATGCTGCAGAGAAAGGTGAAAAATCCCCAGGGTCTCTGCCAATATGACTCAGGGGAAAATTCCTTCCCAATCCCAAATATGGCCAGTTAGACCCTGAGCATGTGGGCAAGACCCACCAGACAGACACCTGGGAAAGAATCTCTGTCATTGTAACTCAGAGCCCTCCCCGGCTAGCATCCCATCACCAGCCGTTGGAGGTATTTGCTGCTAGCAGTCGCAGATCGGCGACACGCCATTGCAGGCAGTCCTATCCTACCATCCCCTCCATAAACGTATGAAGCGCAGCCTTGAAGCCAGTTAGGTTTTTTTACCCTGACTGCTCCCCTTGGGAGGCTGCTCCAGAACTTCACTCCTCTGATGGTTAGAAACCTTCGTCTAATTTCAAGCCTAAACTTGTTGCTGGCCAGTTTATATCCCTTTGGTCTTGTGTCCACATTGGTGCTTAACATAAATAACTCCTCTCCCTCCCTGGTATTTATCCCTCTGATGTATTTACAGAGAGCAAGCAGATCTCCCCTCAGCCTTCTTTTGGTTCGGCTAAACAAGCCAAGCTCTTGAGTCTCCTCTCATAAGACAGGTTTGCCATTCCTCGGATCATCCTAGTAGCCCTTCTCTGCACCTGTTCCAGTTTGAATTCATCCTTCTTAAATGTGGGAGACCAGAGCTGCACACAGTGTTGCAGATGAGGGCTCACCAGTGCCTTGTATAATGTACTAACACTTCCCTGTCTCTACTGAAAACACCTCGCCTGATACATCCTCGGACTGCATTCTCCTTTTTCATGGTCGCCTCACATTGGCAGCTCATAGTCATCCTGTGATCAACTCAGGTCTTTCCCCTCCTCTGTCACTTCCAACTGATAAGCTTATAGCAAAAATTCTTGTTCGTCCCTAAGTGCCTGACCTTGCATGTTGCACTATTAAATTTCATCCTATTGCTATTATCCCAGGTTTCAAAGTCATTCAGACCTTCTTGTATGATATTCCAGTCCTCCTCCATATTGACAATACCTCCCAACTTTGTGTCATCTGCAAATTTTATTAGCAAACTCCCACTTTTTGTGCCAAGGACATTAATAAAGATGTGAAATATGATTGGTCCCAAGACCGATCCCTGAAGAATTCCACCTGTAGTCTCCCTCCATCCTGACAGATCACCTTTCAGTATGGCCCATTGTAGTCTCCTCTTTATCCACCTTTCAATTCTCAAATTAATCCCCATCTTCTTCAATGTAACTACCAGGAATAATTACCCACTCTTCAGGAATATTGCTGCAGGAACTGGGAGTGGAAGTCTGCAGTGGTTTGTAAGACAATCCTCAGCGTCTTCACTGGGGGCAGCAGCGTCACCCTGAGGAGGGGTAGGGAAGGTCACTGGGGAGAAGGTGCTGGGCTAAGACCTCGCTCCTGCCTGGGCTGGGGGTTCTTCCCTGAGCGACCCCCTGAAGAGAAGGGCTGAGAGCCTCAGCGCTGGGCCACTGAACCCTCAGCGGGCAGAGTTCCGGGACGCTGCTGTAGAGGGCACTGCTGCCCTGGTCCTAGATGCAGATGGGCCGGCTGGTCCCTGCCGGTGCGCCTCCCTCTCTAATGGCCCCGGTGCAGGGATACAGGAGGGCTCGGCTCTGCAGGAGCCTGCGGCCCAGGGCCTGATTCATGGGGGAAGCCTGATTATGAAAAGGATCATGTTGTGGATGCAATTAAGGGACTTTACCCCGTCTGGGCTGTAGGCACCAGGCACGAGTCGAGGCCAGCCTGAGCTCATTCCTAACCCATCGCCCAATCCCGAAACCATCACTGACCCTGAACCCGTCACCCAACGCCTGTCACCCATCCCCCAACCCCTGACCCATCTCTGCAGGAACTGGGAGTGGAAGTCTGTGATGGTTTGTAAGACAATCCTCAGCGTCTTCACTGGGGGCAGGAGTAACTCCCTACTTTGAGCAGGGGGTTGGACTAGATGACCTCCTGAGGTCCCTTCCAACCCTGATATTCCATGATTCTATGACCCTGACCCTGTCACCCAACGCCTGTCACCAATCCCCCAACCCCCAAACCGTCACTGACCCTGACCCTGTCACCCATTGCCTGTCACCCATCACCCAACCCCTGACCCATCTCTGTCCCTGACCCCATCACCCAACCCCCCAACCCATCACTAACCCTGACCCCATCACACAACACTGCCTTGTCACCCATCACCCAACTCATCACTGACCCTGACCCCATCTCCCCACCCCACCCTGTCACTTATCCCCCAACCCCTGACCCATCTCTGGCCTTGACCCCATCACCCAACCCCACCTTCTCACCCATCCCCACGCCTCCATCACCAAACCCCATCACTGACCCTGACCCCATCTCCCCACCCCACCCTGTCATCCACCACCCAACGCCTGACCCATCGCTGAACCCGACCCCATTTCTCATCCCCTCCTTCTCACTTGTTCCCATGCCTCCATCACCAAATGCCATCACCGAACCTGACCCCATCACCCGTCACTGAACCCCAACCTGCCACCCTAATCAAACCCCACCTCTGTCCTCAGTCACCTGCCCCGACCCCGTTGCCTGTCACTGAAATGGAACTCCTCGTCCTGCGGTACCTGACGAGGTGGGTGCCCCGGCGCTGCCCGAAGGTGCTCCCTGGGGCCAGCACGATCCCCGTCGCCTCCAGCAGCTTCTGACAGAAGAAGAAATCAGGCTCCAGACTGAGGGCCTAGGAGGAAGACAGAGCGTCAGGAGGGTCACGCCCCATGCTCTTGGCTGGGCTGGGCCACGCCTGCTCCCCACCCACCACTGGGCTGCTCCATGCCCGGTTCTCACCTGGGCCTCCTGCACCGCCCTGGCTGGGATCTGGATCCTGGGGAAGGAGTACATGGCGCCCTGCACGGGGTTACAGCGAATCCCGGGCACAGGGCCGAAGATCTCCTGGGTCAGCTGCGCTTTGTGGGCCAGGTTGCTCAGCACTGCTTGCTTCTCCTGGGAGCCGAGAGAGAGACCCACAGCGCTGAGTGGGGGAGGCCGGTGTTATCCTCTGGGACTAGAACCCAGGAGTCGTGCTCCTTGCTGTAACCACTAGACTCCTCTCCCGCTTAGAGACAGGGGTAGAACCCGGAGCCCTGGCTGTCATACGCTGCTCTAACCACTAGCCTGCAGCCCCAGAGCAGCTCGGGGGGCCAAGCTCTCCACCAACACCTGCCCCGGCCCCAGGCCAAGTGTTGCCTGATGGGCTCAGCTCAGCAGCAGAGGAGACTGGTTCCTCCTGAGCTGGGCACCACCCTGGCATCCCTCGAGCCGCCCTGACTCTGCCACACCCTAGCTGTCGGCTGTGCCCCAGCATCAACCCTCAGCACCATGCCCTCTTGCTTCTTCACCTGCCATGCCCTGGAGCCACCTGTGCCCTCACCCCTTACCTGTGCTCTGGACCTGCCCTTGGCATGTTCTGCCTAGCGTCTCTGCCTCTCCCCCTGAACCCAGGTGCTGCATCCCCAGTCCCTGACCATCCTGCCTTGCTTTCCCCCAGCATGCCTTTCCCTGCACCCTGCAGCTGTGTCCCTCCCCACTCCCCCATCCCTCCCACCCTGCCATGCAGTATGCAGCACCCACTGCCATAAAGGTGCGGGCAGGAGGGGTCCCCAGGCAGCAGCGGCTCCATCAGGGCATCCAGCAGAACCTGGCCCAGGATCAGGGGGTAGACGGACACTCCCGAGGAGCAGAAGCATTTCATGATTGCTGGGTCGATGTTCACAAGCTCAAAGAAGCTGGCCCGGAAACCGCCCCTGCCTGAGCAGAGAAGAGGTGAGCTCCAGGGGCCATGCCCACCCCTGCACCACGGTCACTGAGAGTCAGAGCCCTGGGGCACAGCTGGGGGGCTTCAGGGTAGAAGGGGCTGGACTGGTCAGGGCTCTTCCACCTCTAGAGTCAGTGCCATCAGCTGCCAGCAAGGCTCTTCCCCATGGAGTTGGTGCTAGGAGAGGATTCTGCCCCAAGCCCCATTGGCACTAGGGTGGATTAGGCCCCCCCCAGCAGTCACTACAGGATCTGTGCCCCTGGTTTGATCTGTCTCCTGATGAAACAACCCCCTCCCCGCTGATCCATGACCCCTAGGATGAACACGCAGGCACATACCCCTGCCCACGGGAGGGGGCCCTGCCCCAGGCGGTGACCTGGCCCATGGGGAAGGAGGGCGGTGGCTCTGTGGCGAGCTGAAAGCAGATCGGACACCAGGTGCAGGGAACAGACCCCAGGGACCTGTGTGCAGAACCAGCTGCTGCAGGAGCCGGGGAGCAGGCTGTGAGTGCCAGGAGCAGGTCTGTGTGGGTCTGTGAGAGTTGGCAATGGCTGGGCAGGGAGCCAGTGCAGAGGGGTCCCAGTGAGAGACGCTAACTGAGCCTGGCCTGGAAACCTGGGAGCTCCTATTTGCTGGAATAGAGACTGGACTGGAGAGGGCACCCAGGCACTTCTGTCCCCTCCCCCGGCCTCCCAGCAGGGACCCCAATAAGAACCACTATTGTCTCTCTTTCCTAGCTTCCCAGGCTCCAAGGCCAGAAAGGACCATTGTGATCACCCAGTCAGACCTCCTGTGTAACACAGGCCAGAGCCCTGCCCTCAGGTCATTCCCAGAGCACAGCTGTTAGAAACACAGCCCATCTGGATTTAAACCCTGTCAGTGATCGAGAAACCCCCACTGCCCTTGGTAAACGTACACCTTATTTCCAGCGTGAATATGTCTAGCTTCAGCTTCCAGCTATTGGATGCTGTTAGACCTGTCTCGGCTAGATCAAAGAGGCTATTACCAAGTATAGGGTGATCAGACAGCAAATGTGAAAAATCGGGATGGGGGTGGGGGGATAATAGGTGCCTATATAAGAAAAAGCCGCCAAAATTGGGACTGTCCCTATAAAATCAGGACATCTGGTCACCCCACCCATGTAGATACTTACAGAGTGTGATCAAGTTATTCCTTAATCTTCTCTTTGTTAAGCTAAATAGATGGAGCTCCTTGAGTCTACCCCTGTAAGCAGGTTTTCTAATCCTGGAATCATTCTCATGGCTCTTCTCTGACTCCTCTCCAATTTATCAACATCCTTCTTGAATTGTGGAGGCTGGAACTGGACCCAGGATCCCAGCAGCGCTCACACCAGGGCCACATACAGAGGTGACATAACCTCTCTGCTCCTCTCGAGATTTCCCTGTTTCTGCATCCTAGGATCCCATTTGCTCTTCTGGCCACAGCGTTACCCTGGGAGCATGTATTCAGCTTATTCTCCACCATGACCACCCCCAGCCTGTAAGTACGGCCTATATTCTTTGTTCCCAGAGGTACACATTTACATTTTCCCATATTAATACACAAATTGTTTGCTTGCACCCAGTTTACCAAGTGGTCTAGATCGCTCTGTATCAGTGATATGGCCTCTTCATTGTCAGTCTAAAACTCATGGCAATCGGGGGAAGTCCCGGAAGACTGGAAAAAGGCTAATGTAGTGCTCACCTTTAAAAAAGGGAAGAAGGAGAATCCTGGGAACTACAGGCCAGTCAGCCTCACCTCAGTCCCTGGAAAAATAATGGAGCAGGTCCTCAAGGAATCAATTCTGAAGCACTTAGAGGAGAGGAAAGTGTTCAGGAACAGTCAGCATGGATTCACCAAGGGCAAGTCATGCCTGATTAACCTAATTGCCTTCTATGATGAGATAACTGGCTCTGTGGATGAGGGGAAAGCAGTGGACGTGTTGTTCCTTGACTTTAGCAAAACTTTTGACACTGTCTCCCACAGTATTCTTGCCAGCAAGTTAAAGAAGTATGGGCTGGATGAATGCACTATAAGGTGGGTAGAAAGTTGGCTAGATTGTCGGGCTCAACGGGTAGCGATCAATGGCTCCATGTCTAGTTGGCAGCCGGTATCAAGTGGAGTGCCCCAAGGGTCGATCCTCGGGCCGGTTTT